CTGAGTATGTCTTCACTGCAGTTGACTTGAAGTGTCATACTCAAGTTGTTACTCTTGGTGTTAACCTAGTTCAAGTGAGAGTAGCCTTATAAGAGTGAACATAGTCCTAGTGTGAACACAGCAACAGAAGGTATGTCTACACTACCCTCCTAATTCGAAATAGGAGGGTAATGTAGGCATACCGCAATTGCAAATGAAGCCCGGGATTTGAATTTCCCGGGCTTCATTTGCATAAGCCGGGCGCCACCATTTTTAAATCCCGGCTGGTTCGAACCCCGTGTCGCGCCGCTACACGCGGCACGAACTAGGTAGTTCGAACTAGGCTTCCTCGTGGAATGAGGAGTAACGGTAGTTCGAACTAGGAAGCCTAGTTCGAACTACCTAGTTCGTACCCCCTGTAGCCGCGCGTCACAGGGTTTGAACGAGCGGGGTTTTAAAAATGGCGGAGCCCAGCTTATGCAAATGAAGCCCAGGAAATTCAAATCCCGGGCTTCATTTGCAATTGCGGTATGCCTACATTACCCTCCTATTTCGAATTAGGAGGGTAGTGTAGACATACCTTCTGTTGCTGTGTTCACACTAGGACTATGTTCACTCTTGTGTAGCTCTAGAACTTCTGGGGACATATCTCATGGTTCTTTGCACTGTGGTAAGATGAGAAGCTCTATGAATTCTTTCCCAAAAGAACTCATCTGTCCTGTCTTGGCACACAAGACGGGAATTGTGGGAAAGCACTTGAGGACTATCAGCACTTGAGTGAAGCAAGCCCATTATGTTCAACAATCACTGCTCATTTGGAACCAGAAGTGCCCAAGCAGGCAGCACTGAGACCTTCCCTCCACACCCCGAAAAAGCAAATACAATACAGTACTGTGTTACTAAAAAAAGGGGAAAGCAGCATTTCTTCAGAATAAAGTTTCAAAGCTGCATTAAGTCAATGTTCAGCTGCAGTTTTTTGAGAGAACAACCATAACATTTTGTTCAGAGTTATGAACATTTTAGAATTAGGAACAACCTCTGTGGATGAGGTGTTTATAATTCTTAGATTCTACTGTATAATGTTATGGTAATGCACTTTAAGCCTGGGAAACAAGTGATGTTCAAAAGGAATCTGGATTTTATTAAAATGTCATATTTGTTGTAACAAAACTAAAGAACACAAAAGCCATCTTTAATACAGCCTCCTGCTTAGCATGTTTTTCGCTCAGAAGCTTAATCTTCAAAAAGTTTAGAATTCAAGTTTCCTTTTCTCTGCCTACCTAGTCATCCCTTAAGTCTTTAGTTGGTACCCTTTCCTGGCATCCCTGCTTTGCTTGCCCTTTAAATACAAAACTAGGGAGAAAACCAGCAATCATTTTGCTTCTGACTGTTGCAGGCTGTACTTCCCTTGCTTCTTGTTGCTAGTATTTAGTTCCTCTGATAACATTTTTCCTTGTTTTCTTTTCCTTGTTCCACTCCTAAGGCTTTCCTGAGAGCCCTTCTATCCTCGGTTACTACTCAGCTTGTGAGATTCAACACAATCTCTATTTGTGTGGCTGCAGGATCTCTGAAAAAGCAGCTCATCAGTTCAGGAAATCATCTGGGTGGCAACCCTACTGTCAGCTTATTTTCTTCCCTTCCACTTAGACATCAAACTGGCGGAAGAAGGCTCTAGGGAACAAGGCAAGCACTGAGAGCCGCTCCTCTGCAGACATATCTGTGTCTTTCATCAGCTGGGCTCAGGGAATACCACTAGCTGTGAAAAATCTCTTTGGAGCTAGCCATTTCCATCCTTCCATACTGTGGAGGGACTGCCCAGTGGTGATGTGATAATTTTAGATGTGGATAATGCCATGCACTGTTTGGCAGAAGCTATTGCATTATATATGTGGTAAAGGAGACATGACAAAATAAACAGTAAATGGGCATAGATTAAAATAAGTACAGATGAATAAACAAGGAACTGTTGCAGAAATAACTAATGGTGGCTGTGTGAAGGAGCCACTGGGAATAGTAGTTCTGCATGTATATCACAATTTTTTATCTTTGAAGACTGGGCAAGGATTGTGGTTTTCTGTAAGCAGCAATGTACCTACCACATTTTGGATGCTACAATAATGTTAATGAGATGTACAGAATAGATGCAATGGACTCTACACTGGAAATTCATGGTACCACACAACCCACTGGAGAACATCAGTCACATCTCAAAACCACTGTGTGCCGTGTTAGTTATCCCTTTGAAGACTGTGAGTATATACGCATGTGGCATCCTACACATGAATTTGGCTGATTCTCTGGAAAATGTCAGGGTTATAAAAGCTAAGCTCCTTCTGCTTTCCACAATTCTGGGTGATTTGTCCTTTTAAAATATTGTTCAGTCCGAAAAGTGAGTCTATAAAAATGGCATCATAGGACTTTGTGTTTGTCTCTAAGCTATTCCAGAACAGATTTCCTCAATTTACTATAAAGATAATATTTTTGTAATTTGCAGCCCTACAAACTCAGCATGATATTTGAGGGCTCATTGGGTTCTTTCCTCCTCATGCATCATCATTAGTATATAAGATCCTGCAAGGAAATTCTTCTTTTGCTTTCATTTGTGCAACTTTTCTTCAGTTGGGTTGTATGGACACAACTGAGGATGGAATTTAGCTCTGCAGTAAAATCTTGGCCAGCAAATCTGTGGAAGATGCAGAAACTAACTAAATTAGAAGACAGCTTCCATTCCTGTATCTATGCTGGTTCTGCAGGGGTAGGAAACTATGAAATTTATTCTTGCCACTAGATCAAATTATGTTCATTTGGAATACACAGGGAGCAGAATTGTTCAATAAAATGGGTATTTTCCCCACAGTCACATGTGAGCCAAAATGGACCTAAGCAATTTCCTCCCCTTGATTAGTTTGATAAAAGCATACAAAAATATTAGTGGTATAACCGTATAAAACAGATGGATCAGGAAGTTCTAGTAATAGCATGAGAACAGAGGGACATGGAATGACATTGAAAGGTGGCAAGTAAATTATTAAAGGAAATACTTTCTCACATAATTCACAATTAGCCTGTGGAACATGCTGCCACAAAATAGACTTGAGACCAAGAGTGTAGCTGGATTCAAAAGGGTTAAAATAGTAAATGTTACAAAATACACAAAAGTAGTGGGAGCAGTGTAGGGCCTCAAACTTCAGGGCTAAATCCAATATTTGATATTAGGGGTTATGGAGTAATTTGCCCAGCGACCAGGTTAATCCTATTCCTGTTTACAGTGAGATCTTACATCTTGCCTGGAAATCTGGTGCTGATTACTGTCAATGACAGAGTATTGGATCACTGATCTCATCCTATGTTCCTAGATAAAATGTTAAGTTGTACTGTATTTGCCCAAATCTATCCCGCACATTGCACTCCTGTGGGTGCTACACAATACAGGAATTGCCAGGCTGAATCAGACCCGAAGTCCAGCCAGTTCAGTATCTTGTCTCCAACAGCATCCATTTCCTTTTATCAATTTCCCAACTTTTAATTTAGTTGACAAAACAGGCTCCAGTCTATGAGTTTATGCCTAAATACATTTGTCAGTCTTTAAGGAGTCACAGGATTCCTCCTTGCTCTTGTGGTATGAGACAGAGAACAGAAGTTCCGGATTTACCTTCTCTAGACTTTCCACGATTTATATACTTCACTCAACAGAACAGAATGATGTATCTGTCCCAGAAATAAAGAAGTAGCTAAAAAAGGCTGGTGGGCATTGAGGATGATTCGTTCCATTATTTTAATCCATAAAATATTCCTAAACATAATAGTAATAGACAATAATTAATACTTGCCACTTTTCTAGGACTTTTCAGCTGAAAGTCTTGAAGTGCTATACTATGGTAATTAAGCATTATTATCCCCATTTTACAGACAGGGAAAACTGGGTAGCATCCAGCTTACTATTGTGCTTCCTAAGCCTTCCCTCCTTTTCCTTTGGTCTTCCTTCCACATGCACTATTATCTTCCCCTGCTTTCTCTGCCCAGTTGCATGGGTGGAAGGGGAGGAAGGGGAGGTGGTTCAGAATCTGCAGTGGCATTGCAAAGATGGAGGGTGGTATTTTCTGTCTGCCTTAGTTTGGATGCAGGGTCGGTTATTATTTCAAGGTGTCAGCTTGTTTGCAATGAGAACAAACAGCTCTATTGCTTTCCTCACAATGTGCCCCTCCGTTAGCTAAAGGGGAGGACACGCAGCAGTGGCTGCTGTGTTGCTGCAGGGGACTGTGCCTCGAGGGAAGAAAATCCAGACACAGGCACAGAGCTTTGGACAAGGAGGTGGAGACGTATCGGATTTAGAGGGGCGGGGTTAGAGGTGGGAGCAGGTGGCAAGTTGTTTATCCGCTCAGCTGTTGTGTGGCTTGAGAGAGACAGAAGCAGCTGGGAGAAGGAAGGAAGGAGCTCAGGGTCTATCAGTTTTTCTGCCTTACAGGTTTGTAACCGTTGCAAAACAACTAGAGAACAATTCACTTGGGACACAGCCCCAGCCTTGGCAGTGCCCGCTGAGGCATTCACTAGTATATGCTTGGTAGGAGCCTGGGCAGAACCTGGGTCTGTAGGAGCTGTGGTGTATGTATAGGAAGGAGGCAGTGGGACTGGTATATGCCCAAGCAAGTCCCCTGAACGCATCCACTGCTGTATGCCAGCAGGGGCCCTGGCAATGGTTTCTGGGGCATACATTGGTATCTGCTCATGCAAATACCCTGGAAATGTCCCCTGGATTGGGACAGCTGGGCTCCTGGCAGTGTTTTTCAAAATATACTTTATCTGCCCATGTAAGTACCCTGGCATTATCTTTTGGCTTGCCAGCAGGGTCCCTTGTAGGGGCCTTTTTACTGGCTGAAGCCATGCCAGCTGACGCTTTCCAGCAGCAAGGCTTTCTTCTTCCAATAACAAAGAGCCAATGTGGGTATTATTATTGATCCATGTCATGACTTAATGCTTTTAACACTGAAGAAAAATATCATTATGAGGTTTAATTTGTTCAAATGGTTTGAGACAGGGGTTACTATAACTCATCAATAAATGCCACTTTTTATTATGTTTTAATTACAATGTAATTTCAACAGGGTATGCTTGTTCTGGCTGTTCAATGTATCTAGTGGGGTGTTGTTTTTTCAGTGGCTTTCCTTGAGCTCCAGTGATTAACTCCCATCACAGGCATAGGAATTAATATGTTGCCAGAGAGCCTGACTGGCTCGCTGTACATAGGGGATGTTCACTAAGATCACTGTGCTAAGCCACCAGGGGTATACATCAGTGAAATAAATGGTAGCTAATGCTAGGCTGGCTAAGGCATGCCTTCGGGGCAGATTGCACTCATTGGAATTTCTCTATGTTGTCCAAAGCTGCATTCTCCCTTCAGGCATTGGTGCGGCTCAAGGAGCCTGCAGGTTCCAACATGCTGTGGTCCAACTTCACCCAAGTAGCCCGGGAGCTGGTCTTGATTTGTTCTATGCAGATTAGACACGCCTTTTGTGTTCCTAACATGTTCCCAATGTGGCTCTCATTTGGGCAGAATCTGAACATTCCTAGACTAAAATCTTAAAACCTATTATGCCAGCCAGCTGTCTTGCCTACCCCACCCCCTTATCAATATATCTTGAAAAATGTTCCTCTTGATGCTGTGAAGGAGAAAAGGAAAGTCTAGCAAGGCTATCCATGGAGGTTAGTCGTCTCGTGAGCAAGGGATCCCAAAGACTCCAGTAGTCATTGGTCATTCCATCTTTCTTGTCTTGTCACCCTTCAGCATCCAAGAATGAGGTCTGAATGCACTTTAAAAAGATGCTCCAGTCCTAAGAGCCTATTTCTGGTCCAACTCACACAGGTGTTAGTCAGGAAAAAACCTACTGAAGTCAATGGAGTTAGTTACACTGGTATGAAGTGGCTCAACTGTGCTCTAAACCTCCTCTTCCTCCAGTGTGGTATCAGGAATGAAAGGGAACTCTATTTTACCCTTGATAAATATACATGATGGTTAACACACAGCTCTCTACACTGTGCCCCTCCTCCTGCCACCCTCCGGGCCCTAGCCACGTTTAAAATACTGGTTATTTTTGTAGCACAGTCAGTTGCTTTATGATGTTGCCCTGGCTACACTAACTTTCCACATCACCTTTCTTGCGAGCAGAACCCTTTCCAGCAGTGAATCGTCAAAAGCTAAAGAAGGGAAAGCAGCAACAAACAGCTGTCTGTCTTTAGCATCACAAACCGTCTCTCTCCTCGAGCTCCCTGCACATTCAAGCAACACCAGATGAAGCCGCATCATTATCTCCATCAAGCACCCAGCTTTTCTCTTTCCCAGAGGGTAAACAATACAGAGGAATGGGAGAACTAGCTTGTTAAACTTCAGGAGGGAAAAGGTATAAGTTCTGAGGAGGAATTGCATCCAGCTGTTCAAGATAGCTTTTGCTGTGGAATCAAATACAGGAAGATAACACAGTTAAGGGTACGTCTACATTACACAGCTTTTAGCAACATGGCTCCTGTTGCTGAAAGGTGGCGTGAACACTGTTTGTCAGCTGTGTAAATGCTGTCAGCTCTGTTTGTGGGCACTCCTGCCAAAAAAAGCACTGTTTACATTAGTATTTGCCTTGGCAAAGCTTTTGTCCTGGGACGGAGGGGGGAGGGACGTAAGCACTTGTGAATGACAAAAGCTTTGTCGCTCAATTGCCAGTGTAGGCAAAGCTGAAGAGAGTAAAGTTTAGTTCAGTTACTTCATGGTTGTGCCAGAGTTGTTTTTACCATCAGTCCCATCTATACAGGCTACGAGGCTATACCATAGGTTATAACTGCTGAAACCAAACGGTGTCATAACATAGTCGCCCTTTGTCTACTTAAACTGTTTTGCTTAGCAGCAGTGGGAATTTTTATGTTCATGATGGGAGCACTAGTGTGGGCCTGGTCCTAACCACTGTCATCTATTCCTGTTTTGAGTCGGATTATCTAATTCTGAGGTTTTAGAAGGAAATGGGGGAAAATCTGAATTAGAGTTAGGGCCTGTCTACACTACAAATTGAAACACCCACTAACATAGTTCATATGATAGTGTCATTAGGACTCAAGTCTCTTCCTCTGTTTCCTGCCTCATGCACTGGAGGAGATTGGTAAAATTAAGAAGGAGGACTCCCCTAACTGTTGTCCCTCAAATATCTACACAGCATGCCTAGTTTGATAGTGGACAAGTGGTTTTTTGGAGTAGTGGAGAAGATTAAACAGTGGGGCAGGCACTGATGTGAAATGGCTAATAGAAAGCATGCCCACATTGACAGGAGATCATTGGTTTTTCTCCTTCCTTAAAGTGAGAGCGTAAGCAGAATGGGGATTTTTGGCAGCGCTGTAACTAGGTATTTTTGTGCCTGGGGCAAAATATTAATTATGTGTCCCGTCTCCTTAGGTTAGCACATATCGTGCTCTTTACTTTTGCAGCTTGTTATTTTTACTTATTGCAGTTTTGTGCCCCTGATTATGATGCACCCAGGGTGAGGGCCCTGCTTGCCTCGCCCTTGTTATGGCCCTGATCCTCAGTAACCCTGGATTTATCTGAGAGCAGGAGGCACAACATGCAGCCTGTTACCCAGTTTGCTTTCTTTTTTACTATCCAAGACTGGAGAGAGCTGAGAGAGGGGGAGGAAAACAAATAATTGACTTGGGGCCCAGCTAATATTTTCTAGGTGCCTTGCACAGAAACCTTGAAAACAGCCTGGGACCTGGTGCTGTGAGGTGCGGGGCCCCTCCGCCGAAGGGTGCTCAGGACCTCGCAGCACTGGCCCTTAGAGACTTGGTGTGAACATACAAAGGTTTTCTTTGCTGTGACCTTTCCGTTTCTGTAGCTACAAGCCTGGGGTTATGGAAGCAAAGAACAGTCCTGCTGGTGGGAGACGGGGCCAGGGGAGCATGATTCAGTTCTTTAGTTACTTGAAAATTAAACCTTAGTTCAGCAGCACAGTGTTGGGGGGGGCGGGCGGGCGTGTTATTCAGACTGCTGCTGGCTAGCGCCACTGACTCCTCTTGCTGATAAGCGGCTGACCTCAGGGAGCTAAGAGACTTGCTCTGCCACTGCTTTGAATTTTAGCTAGTGCACTGGGAATAGCCCAAAGGGCCTCGTCTCAGATGGTGGCCACAGGAATTTGCGGCTATTATATTTGGGAGCCAGGCAATGATTACAAATCCGTGGTTTCATTCCCGGTGTGATTAATTGTTAACCTGGGAGTGTAGCTCTTCCCTTGGCTCTCCACTACCAGATTCCAATTCTTGTAACTCTTGTGATTCTCTTTTTAAATGTCATCGGCCGGGCTTAGATGCAGCCGAGGATGGATGAAAAGGCTGCCTGAGGGTGAATTTATGTGCATATATGAAGCAACTTGTAGGTGAACCCGCTGGGTTACAGGCTCAAATGGTAAGCTGTTAGCACAAGCCACAGCAGATAGGCCTCTTCCTCCTGCAGAGCTCCCTGGTCGCCTCATGTGACCAGCCAGACAAAAGCATAGGTTGTTTATCAGGCTGGTGGGGATGTTGTCATCCCAAGTGTTGTGAGCCCATCAGTCCTTAATAACAGATAATGCTTACTACTCACTTATACCCTTTGCACATTTGCTGTGCACTAATCTTAGATGGTAAGTTGTTTGGAGCAGAGGTTGTCTTATTGTACAGTGTCTGTAAAGGCTAAGCATAATGGGCCCCTAGTCCATGACTGCTATGGTTATCTAAACAAATAATCATAATTTTCACCTCACCCTGGTGGAGTAGCTCAGAAAGAATCATCCTCATTTTGCCAAGAAGGAAACTGGAGCAGCGAGGTTAAGTAACTTACCCAAGGCCACCCAGAATGCCAGTTGCAGAGCCAGGACTCAAACCGCTATCTAGGGAGCATCTTTCCCCTTTCATTGTGGGTTAGCAAAGCTGATATTAAAAAGGTGTTAGTAGGAATGCATTACTCAGAATATGTGTATGCTTTACCTTGATTTTCATCTTTCCCTGTAAACCACCAAAGTGTCCTAACGTTTCTTTTGGCCTAGTGCAATGAAGATAATATTGTATTGCTGACTTTGACACAATTGGTTGGTTCTGAAAGCAGAGGCTATAGAAGAAAAATGGACTTTTCAGAATGGATGACCAAAACAAAAACTGGCTTTTTTGGGTTGGTGTGTGGGAATGAAATTGCATCAAAGGTACTTCACTGACAGCACCTGCTAAAAGACATTTGAAAGTTTTGCAAAAGGTTTTTTTCCTCACAGGACAACAGGACACAAATACATCTTTAAAGTTATATAGCCACAAATGTGGCTAGGGTTTTAGTTTTCCTCAAATGGTCTTGGCTGAATGAGAGAAGTGAGGGAGTGGCAGAATTGGGCTTAGAGGTGGTTGGTTGTGGCAAAGACCTCTTAGTTAATCTGTATTGATCCTCTCTATTATACAAGTTTCCCTGTATCATACTTGGCTTTCCAATGAGGCTTAAAATTAAGGCCCTGACATTAAAGAAAGAAATTATTTTCACAAGGATAGGGCTGATAACTCTGATGTCTGTCCAAATTCCAGCTTGAGTAATTACATTTTACCTCACTAAATTCCCCTCTGCTTTCCATCTTGTTCACTTGCTGTGGGCTTAAAATGGCTGTCATGTTTGACCCCAGAGAGGGCTGTGTTTTAGTTGCAGGTGGAGTGACTTCAAGATGGATAATTGATATAGCTTGGTTAATAAAGTGCTTTGAGATCCTTTTGCATCTACTATATATTTGAGAGCTTTTGTGTGTCTGTCTGTCCATCTGTGAGTCTGTTCAAGAATTCCCCCTAAAGGAGGGGTGAGGAGAATCTTTTTTGGGTCGGGGATCACTGACCCACAGGAAAATCAGCTGGGGGCCATAGAAGTCAGAAGGAAAAAAAAAGACATTCCCCTTATTCCCTAACACACCAGCCCGAACTAGTAGATTTTGTGCCCAGCCCTGGGCAGGAGGGAGGGTGCAGGAGCAGAGTGAAGTTTGGGGGAGTGTTTGGAAGGGTGGTAGGATGCAGGAGTGGGCTTGGGGTGGGGGATCTGGGCAGGAGGGAAGGTGCAGGAGTGAGCTAGGAGTAGGAGAGCTGGATCAGAGATAGGGTGCAGGAGTGGAATGAGGGTGTGGAGTCTGGGTGCGAGGGGGTACAACAAAGGGGTGGGCGGGCTGGGTGATGGGGTGCAGGAACAGGCTTGGGGTGGGGGTCTAGATGGGAAGGAGGATGCAGGAGTGGGGTGGAAGTGTGGAGTCTGGGCGATGTGGGGCACTTACCTATGCAGCTCCCCAGGGACACATGTAGTGCCGTACCCTCTGCTGCTCCCAGGTACCGCCTCCCACTGCTCCAATTGGCAGTGATTACAGCCAATCAGAGCAGCTGGAGAAAGCCTCCAAGGTGAGCGCTTCCCTGTGCTACCATTTCCCCGGCCAGGGGGAGGGAGGGTGACAGTGTACAGAGCTATGAGAGCCTGTGAGATGGATGTGTCCCCGGCTTGCCTGACTCTAGCCGCAGGGCTGGAGTGCCAGTATAAGCGCCTGTGCGGGCCAGAGATTCACCACCCTTGGCCTAAACCATAAGAGCTAGGACCACCAAATTCAGTATGCAGCCTCCTCTTATCATAACGTAAAGCAAGGTCAGGGGTTAGTTGTGCCAAGACAATGAGATGTGCATAGAATGTGATTGTTTCTCATAAATCAGAGAGGGAGGGGTCTGTGAGCAGGGACAGTAATATTATATAATGACCACAGAGGGCAGCAAGGAGCTGCAGTGCGGATGGGGACAGCTATAACCCCATTGGAGCAGCTGGGGGCAAGGTTGGAGAAAGAGACAGCTCTGACCTACATATCTGAGAGAGTTTGTCTGTCTGAGTGTTTATCTGTCCTCCAGTGGGGGGACATGCACCCTCTCTCAGCTGTGCCCTCTGCAGCTGCAGCAGCCATGGACAGGTGCTTCTCACCTAGCCCCGTGCTACAGCAGTGACAGAGGGCTGGGACAGTCCTCTTTTCCTGGGGCAGCCTGAATACTGAACCCTGCATCTCCAGCCCCACCCCAGAGCAATGATTTAAATGAAGGAAAACAAAAAATATTTCAGTGAAGGAAATGAGCAACTTTGGTAAAATACTCTAGTGCAGAAGTGGGGAACCTTTTTTCTGCGTTGGGGGCCGCTGGCCTACAGAAAAATCAGTTGGGGGCTGCACACAAATGAGAAGCAAAAAAACCCAAACTAACCCTCACCGACGTGGCCCACAACTGAGAAGCAGAGAGACACTCCCCATACCCCTTCATGCACCAGAGTCTACTGGGATCCAGGCTAGTAGATTTTTGTATGCTCCAGCCCTGCGGTGGGGAGGCAGGGGAGCTGGAGCACCAGCACGGTGAACCTCAGGGGCTGGATCCAGGAAGCTGGGGGCCACATCTGGCCTCCGGGCCTGAGTTTCCCCACCTCTGCTCTAGTGTGAT